AGAGAACTTATTGAGAAAACTGCAGACCTGGTCCTTGGTCATCCTCTGGTCGTATTGGCACCTCATGACATTTCTGCCATTATCAACCAAGTCCAGCTCAAACATGTGTCTCCTGCCAGACACCTGCGTTTACAGTGTCACCTCCTGCTACCTGACAACATCACCATACAAAGGTGTCAAGTTCTTAATCCATCCACTCTTCTTCCACTCCCTGAGAGGGGTATCCACTATGGGTTTATCATGGACGAAACCTATATTTTTCTCCTCACTGGAACCATCAAGAGGATGCATCCTGATTTAACCTTTTATAAAGAACAAAAACCTCTCTGTGAGGGTCCAGGATATGCCTTCTGTACCACATGGTACAAGCCGAACATCTCTCCTGAATCTTGCTATGAAGATGAACTCTATCACTGGGTGGAGGTGAAACTCACTGCTCACGACTTCTATTGTGATTCTGAAGGCAATAGCATGGTCTTGATCGAACTACCTTCAGAACTCAAGTATTTATACCGTCATTGGGATACTGCTATTCCACATGTCCCTGTTACCAAGTTGAAAACAAAATCATGGAATGATCTCGGGCCCATGGCGAAATTATGGGCCACCATGGATGACTCGAAGTTACAGGAAAATGGCATTGCCAAATACCCCACAACTGACCTACTTGAAGCATGGCCACACCATTTCCTGGAAAATGACTTTAAAAGCCTGGTCATAGTAAACAACTATGACCCAGAGACTCCTCACGACTGTTTTGAACAGATGAAAATGGAGACCATACATCTACCAACGGTGCATGAGAATCCATTGACAAATCCTGATTTCACTCTGTTTGTGGATGGTTCAAGATATGCTGATGAAGAAGGAAATACCACACAGGATATGCCGTAACCACAACAGATGAAGTTATCAAGTCATCATCTTTACCACCAGCAATGTCTGCGCAAGAAGCTGAATTACAAGCCCTGTCTTCAGCATGCAAAATCTCCGAAGGAAAACGTGCCAACATCTACACAGATTCAAGATATGCCTTAGGTGTGGCACACGACTTCGGCCTCATATGGAAGACAAGAGGATTTCTTACTACTGCCGGCACACCAGTCAAACACAGCTCTGCAATCAAAGAGCTAATGGATGCCCTCCTACTCCCTGAAGAAGTGGCCGTATTGAAAGTCAAGGCACATGGAAAGTTGGATACAGATGAAGCAAGGGGCAACCATCTGGCTGATCAGGCTGCAAGCAGCAAGAAATTTGCAGGAAGTGGACGAAGAAGTGTCCGGTCAAGAAGAAGTTCCTGTTTTTACTTTACAGACCCTTCCTACTGATCTAAGGATTTTGCGGGAACAGCAAGCCGCAATTACCCCTGAAGAGATCCAGAAATGGAAGAAGAAAGGGGCTGTCTTAAAGGATGGAATATACTATAACAATTTCAAATTCTGCCTTCCAAAAAACTTATACCCAGCAGTTGTCCAATGGGCACACGGACCAGCACATCTGTCAAAAGATTTAATGGCCGCCCTCATCCAGAAGTATTATGAAGCCCCTGGAATAACAACATTGATCACTAACTTCTGCAGGGTTTGTGCCATTTGCGCAAAATGCAATCCAGGGAAGCCAATCAAAGTGCCTACAAAACATCTGGCTAAGCCCATGTACCCATTCCAGAGAATTCAAATTGATCATATACAAATACCCAAGAGCGGGCCCCATGAATATGCACTAGTGATAGTGGACATGTTCTCAGGCTGGCCAGAAGCCTACCCAGTAGCCAATATCACTGCCAAAACAACAGCAAAACGTCCACTTACAGATGTTGTATGTAGGTTTGGACTTCCAGAAGTTATTGAAAGTGACCAGGGCCCAGCCTTTACAGCAACAGTGACTAAAGAGATTTGGACTGCTCTGGGGGTGACCCTAGCCTTTCACACCCCTTACCACCCACAAAGTAGTGGGAAAGTGGAACGCATGAACGGCACCTTAAAAGCCAGAATGCTTAAAATGTCACAAGAAACAAAGATGCCCTGGCCAGAAAGTCTACCAATAGCTCTATTTAGTGTTAGGCACACACCTAGAGGGAAGCATTCATTATCCCCATACGAGATTCTATTTGGGACCGCACCCAGACTAGGTTGTTATTATCCACAACAGTTACAGCTTCAATCTGATGTTTTAGTAGACTATGTAATTGAACTTGCAAGTGCCTTGAACAAAATACATGCCCAAGTTTTCTCTTCAATTCCAGATCCCGATTTGGATACAGGTACCCATAGCCTGCTTCCTGGAGATTGGGTTCTGGTCAAGAAGTTTGTGCGGAAACATACCTTGGAACCAAGATTTGACGGGCCATTCCAAGTTCTCCTAATCACCGCAACCTCCGTCAAATTGGCCGGCCGGCCACATTGGATCCACGCTTCCCATTGTGAGAAAGTACTTGCCCCAGAGGAAGCTAGTACCGCACCACCATGTACCTCTGGTACAGTATCTTCTTAATCAGCTTAATTAAAGCTCAACAAGTAGCCATCACTAAAGATGCTAGTGGGTACACCTTCTGGTATAATTCATCATGTACCCGTGTGGCTACTTATACTTTTGACTACTGTGACATCGTAGAATGCCCATTCCCCACGTCACAGATTCAGAATATCTATAGAGATATCCCTCATTCAAAAGACCCCTATGTTTGTGTAGTTGACAAACAATGGGGGCACAACTGTAACAATTGGGGGGCGGCGGGATGGAATGCCGGGCCTGCCTGGGGTTACAAACCAAAAAGTGCCTTATCTAAAATTGATGATCACGGTAGGTCCCTCCTCCAGAGAATGACTCTAAGAAAGCGCGGAGGAGGCATACCTATGAAATTAATCTTAAACATTGAGCATCCCAGCCCAACGGATGCAGACCAGTATGTAATGGGAATGTACTGGAAGAAGGGTTCCTATAATAAATTAGGACATTTCCACCTTAAAGATATGTGCCACTCTCCTGAGTGGAAAGGGACCACCCACATGGTCTCAAATCCGTTGAAACCACAATCTTTTAAAGACATGATGGCCATTGCAAATCCAACATTTGAAGATACCATGGCCGCTGAAACAGGTTTCAATGATGTTAATCTATGGTTAGAATGGATGAAATATAATGCCAACAAACATAACAGAACCGCATGCTATGTGTGTGGTGGTGCCCGGCCGCACCTGGGCACTGTGCCTTTAACTTTGCCAGTAGATATAGAAGAATGTGTTCTGAGTCTTTTTGCCTATCACTACAATTTCAATAGGTCCATATGTAAAGCATGGACAGTAGAGTATCTTCTTCTAGTCAAAGATTGCAAACCCCCAGATGGTGTTACCGTCTATAAAGGTAATTATACCTGTTATGCTAATTATGATGGAATTGGTAAATTTGTGGGTAACTTCTCTAAAGGTTATTGTGCCACCTACAGAACTGTCTCTATGAACCTCCTACAATTCCACACTAGATCATTGGGGGATATTTACTGGTTGTGTGGGGATCTACAGCTGAGATCAAGAATGGATAAAGAATGGTGGGGGGAGTGTACTCTGGCTAAAGCAATCATGCCCATACATATTATCTCTGACACACACCCCAATACTCATGAGTCCAAACACTCACCAACCAAGGTAAAGCGTGAAGCCCCAGTAAAGGCAGTTTTGACCCTCATATTTACATTGATGCCATTGGGGTACCTAGGGGGGTGCCCAATGAGTTTAAAGCCAGGGATGAAGTTGCTGCAGGATTTGAATCACTTTTACCATAGTCACTGCAAACAAGAATTTAAATTGGATAAATTACATCTACTACAACCAACAACGGTTTGTTAATTACACCAGGGATGCCCTTCAGGGTTTGGCCGAACAGCTGCAGGCTACGTCCCAAATGTCATTCCAGAATAGAATGGCTTTAGATATGATTCTAGCCGAAAAAGGAGGGGTATGTAAAATTCTGCCTGACACCATGACATGTTGTACGTACATCCCAGAAAACACAGGCCCCAATGGTAAAGTAACCTTAGCTATAGAAAAATTGAAAGAGCTCTCTGAGGAGCTAAAGAGGAACTCTGGGATAAAAGATCCCTGGGAGAGATGGTTTGGTTGGATGACAGGATGGCAAAAAGCTTTGATGCATATTGGTATAGCAATACTAATTTTCCTTTTTATCTTTGCTCTTCTCGTTTGTTGTGTCCTCCCTTGTCTGAGAACGCTCCTCTTGAAGACTGTAGACCAAGCGGCACCCACTTACGCACACCTCACAGTTGATGACCAAGATTTCCAAAAAGTCAACTCGCCCTGTATACCGCTACAATCTATCCCGTTTATTGATAGAGTGCAAGAGTTCTAGGAAGGGACCAGCTTAGGGACAGCATCTGTCTGTCTGGGAAGTCTACCGTGCAGTGATGTGGTGGGTTAGCCACCTCGGGATACCCATGGAGTGAAGTGTTCGAGTGCCCAGCGGACAGATGAGTTAGCCAATTAGGGACAGACGAAGGGACAGCTTTGCACTTTGCAATAACACCTAGCTAGCGGGTCACGGTGTTTCTGTGCCTTTGGGCTAACACGTCTTCTGATACTAACAAATAAAGATTATCTTTTAGAATCTAACATTTCATAGG